ATCCAGTTTTCGTTTGAATGCATCTGTGGAGTTCGCCATTACGACCTCCTCGTTGTTAGATTTATCTTTTCAGTTTAACGGCGTTAATTAGCAAACTTTAGGTGTTCTTAAGAAACCACTCGCATGTGAGACTTTTATGTTTTACCAAATGCGGATTTCTATGTTGGTTTTTGGGTAAATTTCAGCAAAGGTAGTTTAAGTAGTACACCTCATGTGCCCCCTAGTTCCAGCATTTTGTCCTACGGAAACGGTGGCTACAGGGGTTTGGAGGTAGAGAAGTAGGATAGGCAGTGAAGGAAATTTGCAGAAGTGTAAAGTAGGAACAAGTAGTTCAGTTTTTTTCCTGTGGCCGCTGGGAGTAAGTTGTTCCGCATGTTAATTGAAGGTGTGCACGGCGCTTGGCGCCATAGGCTATACTAATCTAACCCCAGAACAGTCAGGCGGACCCACGTAAGTTGAAGTAGAAGACCTCCTAACCACCATTTCTATTTTTTCAGGAATTTTAAGGAACCTGAATTTTGATGATCGGGCTTTTCCACGATACTTTAAACGCTAATGTAGATTAGGAAAATCTACAGATATAAATCAACAACTTTTATAAATACAGTAAAAAAAAGCATATAGTAGTTATTAAAATATATTCCGCTGTGTATCCGAATTCCCCACCCACGAAACCCCTTTAACCACCTTTACTGTAGGAAAAAATGCTGGGGCTAGTGATATATTAGGTGCACTACTTAAACTACCGTTGCCCAAATTTATTTTGCTGGAGTTGTTAGCTGAACCCTCTGTTAAATGCACACTGACGGATAAAAATGTAGGGCCTGAAAACCGAACAACCCTCTAACTGTCTATGTCTTTACGTCCAAAACGATTTTAGAAAAAGAATCATCACTTTTAATAATTGGTTGTAGTCCGTGAAGGAGAACTGAAATCTTTTCGTCACTGCAATGTTACAGGTTCTCTTCAGACCAACCCTTAAAATTAAATTCACGTCAAATATTAAGTATATGTACACTTTGCATATAATATATATATACATATTAAAACAAGTATTTTGACTAATATTAAAGCACGTTTTTCTGTAGACTTTTACTGACCTCAGTGGTGCCCTCAAAATCAGTTCCTTAGGCTGAAATTTATGCATGTGACGTGGCCTATTTCTGCAGCTATTTTATTAGGTAATTTTACTTTGCTTTATTTTAATTTGTAAAATAAATTCTGTTTTGAGACCACTGTGTGATTTATTGTTTTCTTGTGCGTATTTCAAAATTGGTTTCCTTTGTATATTCTGACCAGTGAGAAAAATAGGAGGTGATTTGCACTTCCGTCCGAGATACTCGATAAAATTTCCTTTGCCAATGCTATTTCAAGTGGGTTACAACGTATTCTTAACTTAGCCTATTCATTAAATCATTGCGCACTTCAACAGAAGGGGATTCAATAGGTTTCATAATTTGTTTTTATTGTATGTATGTATGTAGAGATTGAGATGAGATTATTAAAGCGTCAATTACAGAATTGGCGTATAAAGATGATTTTTAAAAGTGTGATCTGCGAGCTGACACCCTTAATTATATCAGAACATCTTAAAAGAAAAAGCAGGCTGTATAAATGGGACACATGAGATGTGGTGGATGAACTTTCAGAAGTTCCACCGAGAGAGAGATAAATGGTATTGGGTTGCGATAGGACTGTAGATGGCGGCACCACAAAATATAAATGTAGTTGCTGATGTGGTTGTTGCGTTTGATGTATATAAACACAAGTTTTAAACGTTTGATTTAGAGCATATAATATGAGGCAATTACGTATAGGAGAACGTATATGAAGAAATAGTTGGCTGGGTATAATTGTGACGCATAAGACGTGGTTGTGGATGTGGTCGTTACTGCGGTTGTTGTCGTTGTTGTTGTGGTCGGTGTTGGTGTCGTCGTCGATGTTGTTGTTTTTGTTGTCGTCGTCGGAGTTGCTGTTGTTGTCTCTGTTGGCGTTGTAGTCGTCGGTGTGGTTGTTGTCGTCGGTGTTGCCGTCGTCGTCGGGGTTGCTGTTGTTGTCTGTGTTGGTGTTGTCGTCGGTTTTGGCGTCCCCGTCGTCGTTGTCAGTGTTGTTGTTGTCGTCGATGTGGTTGTTGTGGTCGGTGTTGGTGTCGTCGTCGTCGCAGTTGTCGTTTTTGTTGGCATCGATTTTGCTGTCATCGTCGTCGTCGGTGTTGTTGTTGTTGTTGTTGTCGTCGGTGTGGTC